TTCTTTCAAAGAACCAGCTTCTGGTTTCATTGATCTGTTCTACTGTTTTTTTGTTTGTTTGTTTGTTTTTGTTCTTTTTGTTTTTTTGGTTTCGATAGCATTAACTTCTGTTCTAATCTTTATTATTTCCTGTCTTCTGCTGGTTTTGGGTTTTAATTGCTGTTCTTTTTCCAGGTCTTTAAGGCATAAGGTTAGGTTATGTATCTGAGCTCTTTCTTCCTTCTTTAGGAAGGCCTGGATTGCTATGCAAACCATTTTTCAATACTGCGTAAATATCACTCTTAATCCATGTATTCTGTGATGATTAATTTTATGCTTCACCTTCGCTGGTCTGTGATATCCAGTTATTTGATTAAACACCGGGCTTCGAACTTGCCGTATTTTTTCCCCCATTTTTTAATGTGATGAACACTTAAATCAGTGGACTTTGAGAAAAGGAAATTACCCTACATAATGTGGGTGTACCTCCTTCAATGAGTTGGAGGACCTAAGAGCAAACTGAGGTCACCTGAAGAAGAAGCAATTCTTAGTCAAGCCTGAAACAGAAAACCTGCCTGACCTTGCAGCCTGCCTGGCACGGCTGGGGAAGATGGACCCAAGATTGCAATACCAACTCTTACCTGATTCTCTGCCCTGCTTGCTTGACCTATACATTTTTTACTTGCCAATCCCCACAATCGTGTCAGCCGATTCTTTAAAATCTCAATCTCTCTATCTTTCTGTCTTTGTCTGTCTCTCCATATGTGTGTATATCTATATATGTATGTGCGTGCCTATTTACATTACATTACATTATATTATGGTAGTGTCTGTTTTACTGAAGAATCCCGACCAAACACAAAGTGATTCCATAAAGATTTCTTCCTTGATATACCTCATTGTCTCTACAGCTTTGCTGTTGTTGACTCATTCTCTAACGCCCTCTTAAGTCCCTGCTACTCACCCTTCAGAGAATTCAGTCACCCATTCTCCAGGAAATCTGCCCTACCCTTCTAATTCTCCATTATCTCAATTTCCTTTGAATTTCTACTAAGAAGATAGGATGTTTAACAACGTTCCAATAAAGCTTTAGATCACTGGAAGGAAGAATAATAGGACTGATTTTCTTCTACATATGAGGAAGGTTGTTATCATCTGCTAGGCTGAAGAAAAGCATGTTACATTGTTAAAATAATGTACTCATTAACATTTTATCAGAAATGTACTGTAATTTTTTGTTTGATAAGAAATATACATAAGGTTGTTCACTTATGAAAGAGCAAGCAGCCTTCACGTGAAGTATTAGAACCTTATGAATGGTAATAGCTATAGAAATATAGAAAGTAAATTATATAAAGTTATCCGGAACTAATACAAGAAGATTCTTACAGGTATATGCAACACACCTTTGTATATATATTGTGAATGTAAAGTATTAATTAATTTAAAAGGGAATGACTGAAGAGTGATCATGAAACTCTCCTTAATCATAAACTTACCTGGGTCTTCCTCATCAATTTGGGGGGATAGTTCTGATACTGATTTCTGAAAGGAGGGTACTTGATTATCATCTTGATCTGGTTC